TGTTGGTGTTGGCTGTTACTAAATCGGGACGTGCTTGCAGCGGGCCTCCAAGGTTTCGTGCCAGCGGCCAGGTGGGGCCACGCAGCATTGGGACAGCAGGGAGGGAGGGCCCCGCCGCCCATAAAGTGGTTGCAGGAACGCGCTTTGCGCGCTGCTTCTTAATTACCTTCTTCCCACCTCATTCTGTCGCCACTCGAGGGACCACCACCCCTGCCTCCAGCCGCTTCTTCTCCACCTCTGCCTCTCAACCTAGCAGCGCTGAACTGGCACTGCGGACGAAAGCATAATTGACGATGGCTCAGTGGAAGTCATCCCTGATCGACATTGAGCCTCCTGGGCAGGGTCTCAGTTGCAGGTGTGTGGGTAAACGCCCGCAGCAGTACGCCGCCATACACTCCCCAAATCCCAAGCGCCCTGCTATACAGTCCTGTTCGATCGTATCATTTCTCAACCTTGATCTTCAAATTTCCCGAATCCCACCACAGAGAAGCACATGGCCCTGCAGGACGGGCGAATGCGTTCTGCTCCCCTGCGTGCGTCCCTGTCTGTTTCGATTCGATCGACATGACTAACAGGCATCGATGGTTATAGTAGCCCAAGCGCTCCCAATGTGACACAAATAACAAATCCTCGATTCTCAACAACTTCAACCCCGGCGAGTGCAAATCACGACCCCAAGACGAAAGTCTGCCACACCCTCACTCCCAGCTCGACATCCACCATGACTACAAATACGCCTCCGAGCAAGCGCGCAAGGATGCGACGCGGCCACACCGTCCCCGAGGCACGTTCCCTCAACTCTACGATGCTACGACACCCAGGCACATCACTCTTCATCCTGCCCATCTGCTGGACACCATTGCATTCACAGCTGCTGGGCGTCAGCTTCTCACAACAACCAGACCAGCGCACTCCCATGCCCGCAAACACTTCGCCACGCAGATCGCGGCGCATCCCGCCAACTGTTCTCAAACTCCGACGAGATCTCAATGCGCTTCTGGCAGTGGAAGAGGTGCCTCTCACAAAGACGCATGCCGTCAAGGACATCCTCTCGACCTTATTCCCCTCACATCTGTCCCGCCGAAAGACGTCTGCCGATCTCGACCTTCGCTTTGGAAGTCGATGCTATGCAAAGGCTGTCAGGGCGCAGGCCATCTGGAAACACCCGGATTCGGGATCTTCGTCTTTCGACTCGGCTGCCACGTGCTCTAATAGATCCGCCAGCCAGCTCTTGTCGTCGAAAAGTATCAGCAGTCCTGTAAGTCGTGCCTTGCTCCAATACTTCAACCTTGCGCAGTGACACTAATCTCATGTTTGTAGACGCAAAATAATCCTGTGCTGGCTTATATAAGTCGAAGCTATCTCGATCACGTTCGGCGTGACCGCAGAAGGATACCGCGTTCGCCGGACGGCTCAGATAACGGCCCTGTACAGCGGCTGCATGACTTGCGCTCCAAAAATCTTAGGCCCAGCAACATGGACGAGGACCCGTACTTTGTCGCTGCCATTATCGCGCTCGCTCAGCAAGCAGTCTATACCGTCGATGCACAGTCCCGGAGGACGCTTTTTATTCCCCGAGACGTCGAAGTCCGCGTCATCACAGTTTCTGAGGAGGAAGAGTGCTTCATCGTCTACTCCACGGTCGTGCCCGCTGCACGCATTAAGATGTTCGATCAACCCAATAAGGCGCCCGAAAGCCCTGCAGACATCCACATCAAGCACACCCGAGTACCCGTATGGCCGGTGCTCGGTCTGAAAGAGCGCCTTGGTCATGTACTGGGTCGGGAGGTGGTTGGTGACTTCAACAAAAACGGCATGGTCACGTACAAAGACGAGCTCACGCCCTGTCCGGAGAAAGGTTCGACCAAACGGCGGTGTGAAATTCTACCAGAAGTTCTGAACGTGAGCTTTTCAGAAGATCCCAATGCAGGCAGCCCTGATCACAACGACAACAAGGCGAAACGTCGGCGACTGCCAAAGAGAAGAGTTGGGCTCGTCCGATGAAATCCAATTCTCCCACAATGTCCCGATGGAGAGGCGAGTCGTCTGACTCTATTCTCGGCTGCACAACGTCTTGCAGGCCTCACATGATACACTAAATGCGACACTAGATGATTGCATGGCATCGCTTGCATGCAAGCATAGAAAGTTAGACATCGGGCAATCCATTTGCATTCGAAAGCCCGATACTGGATGGAGAAAGAGTTGTTCGGCGTTTATTCGGCTTTACCATGATGGAGAGGTTATGGCGAGAACGAAATACCCAAGGCGGCATGACCCGCTGTATGAGACGAGCACGATGCATAGACGTCAATTTCACGCATATACAACTCTAGAAACAATACACTAGACGATCAATGAAGTTCGAGAAGAAGGTTGCCCCGTCCAACTCCCACCTGCACGCTCGCAAGCTCACATCATTCCATGGCACTGCTCCGGCCCATCGATTGCGATTCCGATTGACCTGCACCGTCACGCCTTTGGCAGTACTCGACGCTGAGGACACACTGACGTCTACGGCAAGCCGGCATGCGCTGCACACCTTGAACCGCACACCGTCTCCGAAACCCGAAACCCGCAACCCGCAACCAGACACACCGGACGAGTCGCACCATGATCCCCGGTAGACAGCACGACCAGCGGGATTGACGACATCAGGAACGCACGGGTAATGCTCGTCGATGGCTGTATTCGCAGTACTCATGCCAAAGGCAGCGGACGACGACCCTAGCCACAGCTACGAAAGTCCTTCAGCATCAAATCATGGCCAAACTCAGCGATGGCCAAAGTCAGCATTGCTAAGGACGGTGCAGACAGAGGTCACGGTCGAAGATCATGAAGCGCGATGAAGGACTGCTGCTGCCCCCATTAGCCGCAACCAAGATCTACTCTTTCGACCACAATGCTCTTGCCCGGCCCAGCCTGCGGCTCGTGAAACCGCGTGTACCACTCGTCGATGCCAAGATCGCGCTCTCAGCCTTCAGTAGAGCAGCAGCCCTGTTGCACAGCGTGATAGCTCCCGGCAATCGCACAATTGGCGGTTCAAGGAGAGACGACATGCACACGCTGTGTTACCACGTCAACTCGCACCAGGTCGTGCCCAGGCATTTGTGTTCAGCCTTGAGGCGTATGAAGCGTCTGAAGCCAACAGCGATAAGAGTTAGTCCGTCGATACGAACTGTCGGCATGCCGAACACAGGACTTCATGCCACCCAACACTCCTACTTCCTGCCCAAGACATTGCAACGTGGCGAGACGTGCCGAGACTAAAGGCGGCGACAGCAGCGAGCAAGAAGGAACATGGTCTCGCCAACACATAGAGCACTGCGGACGGACTCACGACAACGGCACCTTCACCGGTCTTTTGATCAAGCTCGCTCGCACGGGCGAATTGATTGCATCACTAGCGATGAGGCGGTGTTCACGAACATCCACGGCAACCATCTCAATCAGGCTCGGCACATTGATGGCACGGGTCGACAGCCCTTCACATCCCCAGCGATGACACTCTCGTACCTGAAAATCGCGATAGGACGTTGCAAGGTAAACGCACAACCGATCCTGGCATCGCGAGCGTTGGTGTTGGTGAGAAGCATCACTCTGCCGGTGCCCTTCACATCAAAAGAGCTCCAGACATCAAGTATGAACATTATCAAGCCTGGTTGCTCTAAACCTACCACTCGCTCAGTGCGGAGGCGGCCACCATGAAAACTTGCAGCAGCGACCACTTGGCTTCTTGGCAACTGCATCTGCGCGTGACGGTGAGGCGATACTCTAAGAAGGCTTTGGGAAACGACGGAAGGCGGAGGAGAGAAATAAGCCTCCATATGTCTGATGCTGCCACATAAAATCTGTAGACCTTGGAATGCGCCACCAAGATCGATGGTCTATTATTGGATCGTGAGTTATCATCGGGGTGACCGTGATCGCAATCGAAGCCGAGGACGACGGTTGACGGTTAGAGAGCTGTCACTGCGCGCTAGGTCGACGGGATCCTGGGCTTGAAGAGTGGCCATGTGGGTGTCAGTGAAAGTACTCTGTGATTGGAAGTCAGCCAGATAGGCGTGGTTGTGTTTGGATTGATTGATTGATTGCTTGTGTGTGCGTTTGGACGATCAGGGCAACACACTATGGACAAGTCGATATTTACTGGCATTTCAGGAACGAAAGGGCTGTGCAAAAATGCTCTGGAGTCCAGGTACATGTGTGCCTTGAGTTCCGCGCACCAACAGTATGACAGTCATATGCTCGCCAGCCAACCTCTCTCGCCCCCCTCTCCTCCACTTGTCCTGTTCCCACACACACAGGATGCTTCCGCCAACATCCACCCAGCTCTCCCGCGTATCCAAGATCCGCCTCTCGCTCTCGCCCCGACAGCGTCACCCAGCGGCAGCTCAGTTGTCTGGCTTAAAGAGCGTCCCATCTCCTCTTTCCCTGCCCAACATAACAGCGGCGACCTGCCACAGGAGGGCTCACAGATTCTGTCTGGACAGTTATCCGGCCAGCAGCACCCACAGCCTCAGCAGGCACATCTGTCACAGCAGGCTCGCGATTTTCCTGTTCTGGTCACTACTGGGGCTGAACATCAACAGGCTCCTTCGTGCTACACTCTCGCCACATTTGACATTCTGGAAGCAGAACAGCCGTCTTCCCAGGCCCACAAGGTTCCCGCTCTCGAGGCCGGACATCTGCCGACCCATCAGCCCCATTCTGACCAGCATTTCTGCGAGTGGTTTGCCCAGCGACACCGCGAGCGCCTCCAACGGCATGAACCGGTGGACGAGATCAATAAGCTCATCGCAAGAGAGTTCCCTCAGTGGCAACTCGAGCAGGCCGCTGCCCAGCACCAGCAGCGAGCCGAGGCCGCACCACAATCTTCGCCGTCAGTCTCGATAGCTACGCTGTGTGCCCTGTCTTCGTCTCCGCCCATCTTGTCAGGCTCCATCTCGACCATCTCGACCCGGCAGCAGCAGCAGCAGCAACCTGCTCTGCCAGCCCGACTATTCGTCGGCTTCCACCGAGAACAGATTCTGAAGCCGGGCGAGCTGGTTGATCTCGTGCACCGGCTCACGCCGTTGGAGGCGCTCGCGGTGTCGCTGGGCAAACCACTCGCAGAAATGCTGGTCAGAATGGGGCTGATGGGTCGGCAGATGTCCGGCCTCGAGAGCGGGAACCTTGTGGGCCTGGGAAGACGGCTGTTCTGCTTCCAGAATGTCAAATGTGGCGAGAGTGTAGCACGAAGGAGCCTGTTGATGTTCAGCCCCAGTAGTGACCAGAACAGGAAAATCGCGAGCCTGCTGTGACAGATGTGCCTGCTGAGGCTGTGGGTGCTGCTGGCCGGATGGCTGTCCCGACAGAATCTGCGAGTCCATCTGTGGCAGACCGCCGCCACCGTGGTGGGCAGGGAAAGTCGAGCCAGACGACTTTGCTGCCGCTGGAGGGGAGTGATCGACAGGCGAATCTTGGGTGCGTGGGAGAGCTGAGTGGAAGCCGGCAGAAGCGTCCTGTACCTCAAGGTCAGCCCAATATTGCAAGGAAACGTGAACACGATCGGGTAAAACACACATTGAGCGATATTCACCGGATTCTCAGGAATGAGACTGTCCCATGAAAGGTGCTCCGGAGTCCAGGTCTGTGTGTACTTTGACTCCCGCTCAGAGACAATGTGATAGGCATATGCCCATTTCCATGCCATATGGTTGAGCGGGGTGACGCTGGGGGGATTGAGTTGTCTGGGCTCGAGACGATAAACTGCCGGCACTGCATGTTCTGCGCCATGGCGCAGGGCCTGCCGCAGGTACCTGTCGGTATATAGCCTGCTGGTCGTCCGCGCCTGGCTGGTCGCTGTTGCTCGCTTCTAGCTCAGTCCGGGTGGCAGTGCAGCGTGCAGCGTGCTGCGGCTGGGTCGAGATAGTACCTGCCAATGTCGACGGGGATGGAGACAGGGCACGTAGCGTGGCTGTCGACAGAAATGGCGACGAGTGCGAGGGCTTGTCGATACGCTGTTGGAAGAATTGCTGGCCGAGGTGGAGCCGCCCGGGCAAACTCTGCGAGCCTATCTGCGATCCCGCTAATGCAGTGCCGCGTGAATGGGAAAGGGGCGGGACGATAGCTAATGGCCAACTCGATTTGAGACGGCACAGAAGGGGGCGTATTCGTGAACCGAGTCTAAGCCGTGCGTAACAGCTGCGTGATATCTTGGTGGAAGCAACGTGTGGCTCGAAGTCAGCTCAAAGATTTAGGGCAAGGGCGAATCCGACGGGGTGAAACACACTGTGAAGTCCTGGATATATTGTATAGCGCACTTCAGAGGTGATTGTCAGGAGGTTGTTGTTTGTGAGAAGGCTGTGGCTCATCAAGCTGGTCGGGATTCGAAGGACTCAAAGGAACAAGAGCGACCTGGTCAGAGTTTGAGGTCCGTCGTGGTATGTGCTATTGCGCGTAGTGAGTTCTGAAAGACGGCGGTGTCCCATCGCGCTTGTGCTGTGATAATGTACGTACTTAAGTAAAACCTATCGATATGGATGCCTGCAAATTAATCTACGCGCGGAAATCCAGGAAGTTGTGGCCACACCAACATGGCGGCGCTCATGAAGCCAGAGAAACATTTCTCACCAGGCAGGTTGCCTGCCCCCGAAATAGCTGCATCAATGCAACAGGCAACCACAGAGCTGCTTTTTGAAGGATGTGCCACAATGATAATATGAGCGAAAGTGCCATGGGCACGACCCTTCTGGCCTGCGTGGGACAGTCACCCAGCCTCCATCCACGTTGCCACCCGGAGAATTGATTCCCGCAGCTCAGCGCCCTTAGATCACGCTCCGCTGCTCGCAAGATAGAATGGCTGGAGACAGTAAGGGGCAAGGGCTCGGACAAGCCTCAATGCCTCACGCTGTGCTGTGGCAGCGTGTCTCGGATGTCTCTGAGCTGTCTCGGCTGTGCCCACATCACAGCCACTCAGCTGGAACAAGCTCAAACGCGGAGAGTACAACAACAAAGTGGGCATCCGGTTTCCATGTCTCGACATCGGACGGCAGGATATCTGACAGATGGTGGTGAAATTATGCGTGTCCCATATCACTCCACGACGTGGCCCTTTGGCCTGCACTGGCGCCTCCAATGGTGATCGGTTCGTCTGGCGTCCATCTGGCCGTTGATACGCGCCACTCTCGCCCAGCGTAAGCCAAGGCTTGTGCGGGTAGGCCAACACGAACGGTCCATTTCATGAAAGTCTAGCACACCAATTCGATAAGAAAACTACTGTTCACGAGAATCCGGTCTTTCCCCTTGACGCGAAGTGTCCGAGCTCAAGTTTGCCCATACGTCGTCGGGCTTTGCCAAGTCTAAGTAACGTAGTCGGAACAGCGGTCATTGCAACAGCGGTTCTAGGTCTGGAACCTGGCTATCTCGTCCAATCCTCCCTGCGCACTAGTGACCGTGTCCGGCGGGCTCATTCACCGCCAAAGCTGCTGCGTAGGACTCTGCGGGCGAGGAGGGTCACATATGTATCGAGCCACTTCCGCTGCTCGGCTGCCCTAGTATCCAACGGCATAGCTGGCGTCTTCAAGGAGCGCTCAGAATATATAGAAGTCAGGTGGGCACTGAGCTAGGCAACGGCTGTGCAGGCACGCATGCTGTTGACCACGCGGTCACGCAGCTTTCTTGTTGATTTTGTGACTTGGCAAATATGAGGACCCAGCGCCGCCTGGGTCGCTTGGCATGGCGACGAGCGGAATCAAGCTACCTCTGAGAAAGCTTACTTAGTTTGATGTCCGGAATGGTCTAACCAGTTCTCCATGCAAGGTCTGCTTCTCAGCGGCATCAGCAGGCAAGTCTTCGTGAGTTTTCAATAGGACATCGTCATAGTGCTATGTCCCCGGTGTCAGAGGCGTCGAGTGCCTCGCAATGACCAAAGAGCAAGAAACTTGTTGTGCTCCAGACAAGCAATGATCGAGGTAACAGGGCGCTGATCGCTGCTATTTAAGCATGTACACAGGCGAAGTAAAGATGATGTAAGGTGCGCTGCGGACGCCAGTCGAATGCTGCTAGAGATTAAGGCAAGTCCTTCAATATATTCCAAAGAACCACATGCTGGTTCACGTCGCAAAACGAGGGCTAGACAGCACGATGACATACCTACCTGTTCCACTTTAGTTAGATGCCTGGCTCGCCCCAATGATGGCGGGTAGGTCACTTCAACCCTGCAGACTGCAGGCATGAACGACATGAATGTAGCCCTCCCGCGCCACTCAATACCTATCAGAGTCCTCCCTTCTCGCATAGTGGACAGTCGAGGGGAGGGACAAGCAAGATGAGGAAGCACGGCCAGGGGCTGCTGCATTACAGTGTCCGGACTGTAGAAGCAGTGTACCATGCGCGTGCGCAACACGCTTGTGGTAACTCCAAAGCACAAACCTACATGCGCGTCTGTTACGCGCAAAATCGGGCTAAATCGGCCATCTCTTTGCGCACTGGGTGACAGGCCTACCTCCAGGTTGAAAGGGGCGGACTCCTCTGGACGTCCGGAGGACCAGTACCAGTGGCGTTCTGCCTTCACTGGCGCTATGGGTGTGGAGACTCTCGGAGAATGGACGACATCCTGCGCCAACGTGTGAGGACTGTCCGGTATCCTCAACGAGGGATTGCCTAGGACAGGACGGACGGTTGACAAGGCAGCCGTCAGGTCGACATGCTCAGAACGCTTGCGGCATCGTCACGGAAGTCTTCCCGTCACGGGAACAAATTACTCCTGCCGTCCATCCCGGACCACGGTGTGGCGACCCTCCGTGTGTGGGTGACCTGACACGTGCTGACCGGCCTGAATTTCAACGCACACGACCTCGGCTCCTGCTCTGTGCTTGACCTTGACCACAACTACAAACGGCGCAACGCATCCCAGCAGCCTTCATAACCACAACGCCACACTTGTGAACTCTGTGTACCTGAGCGTCTTGAACGTGAACGCACATAGGCTTGCGCTATGCGCAGCTGATGGGCAGACCCTGTTGCCTTTTCCAAGGTCAATGTTATCGCACTCGTTGCTGGCAACCTAGCGTACACGAGGGCTTGTAGTTGGATGCTCCCGGGGCGCATCGCATACGCTAGGCATTCAGACAAAACATTTCTCAGCTTGACTGCGCTAAATTATGTATATGGCGTCTCTGCGCCTTGCATGTCTGACAATAGCGTTCCGTTGTTTTCCTGAACAGGGACGCAATCAAAGATCGGGTCCGCCAACGCCTGTAACACCTTGATCCTTCGACGCCCTCCTGCACTCCTAACGGCAAATCGACCACGCTTCAAAAGGGTGCAGGCCAAGCCGTCGGCGATAATCCTGATTGCTGGGCCACAAGAAGCAACGCGATGATTTGTGAGATCGACTAGTTGTTGCGCAGCTCGAGAGGACTGACATGATTATGTATGCCGCCTCAAAAGCTGTTGTCGCGATGGGCAGCGCTGGGCGATGCAGTGAAAGTTTTATCTCGTGCTTTAGCCGCTTCGGCCTCCAGTTTTGCCATGGGGAGTGGGGCCGCGGGGTAGCCTGCTCCTATTCCCAGGTTCGCTCCGTGGATCCCATGGAGCCTCTCCCGCCAGCGACCTCACCGTCGCAACAAGGTCTGCTTCCCGTGCGCGTCCGGGCCCTTGACACCCTCTACAGCTTATCATCTCCTCCCACATCTCCTCGAGCGAAATGGGACGCGTCACAACTTCCAACGCCGGGGCTGCGACCACGAAGGCTTCACAGGCACCTGAAGCGCCCGTCGCGAGCTGTTCCCTTCTCAGTCTTCCACACGAGCTCCTCCTCATCATCATGGAATGGCTCGATCACTAGTCACTTTTCCAGCTCGGCCAAGTATCGAGGGGCTTAAAGACCTCAGTATTGAGTCCTTTTGAGAATGTTCCGCAGAGCATTGCCATTTGGGACAGAGAGGGAGGGTCTTCAGCCGCGCTTTTGCTCCGATTCTCGAGGACCCGGTTCTGGGCCTTGGTGTCTGTCATGTTGACATTCATCCACCTCATCCTGAGATCATCCCTAGACAGTTTCGCGACCTAAGACCAGAAGTTCGCGGCGTAAGCCAAGTCACCCACCAAGACTTTACAGAGCTGCTCGAAAACCCGGCTTTTGGAGTCGGCATGGGGCTGTCCAGAAAGAACTTTGACTGCCTTGGATCGAAGAACCAAAGCTTTTTCAAACGTCGTGTGCAGTCCTCCTATCAGAAAGGGTGGAGTCATGCTGAGATTGTCCGACTCCAATTCGTATTGCTCGGGGAAGTTCTGCCAAATCTGGAGAGCATGACAATCATGGGCTGCGACCTTGTCCGTTCGCGGAGACCCGTCCCTTCGCAGAGAAACCCTCCCAAGAGCCGTGAGGGGCCTTTCACCAAGGTTCACACGCTCCTCATTCACGATATCCGCGAAGAAGAACACGTCTCACTCGCACAACTCCATCTTTTCCCAGGACTACTGCGTTTGTCCTTGCGCTCCACTCATCTGAGGACATCAACCACATGCAGCCTTAAGCATTTGAGAAAACTCACGATACATGATTGTTCCCTTGACAGCAACTCGGATTTCACCAAATTACTTCAAGCTTGCCCTCGGTTGGCGGATCTATCGGTTGGAGACATCTTCATTGGCGTCTCCGACAGACAGGCGCTTGGCATCAATCGCGTGGGGAATGCCATCCGCGAATCTTCCCCAGAGATTCGACAACTACGAGTGGACCTCAAGCCGCGGAAAGACGACTAATTTGTCAGTTTGGCGGGTCTCAAACACCTCGAAGGACTGACTATCGACCTGAGCTGCTTAGTCGATGGAAAGGCTGGGCTGGCAGACTTGACTTCATTGCTGCCGGAGTGCTTACAACGTGTTCAAATAGCTGTTCATCCAACTACCGCTGCTCACTATGGCGTAGAGAATTCCGAGCTCCACAAGCTGTTCTGCTCTCTGAACCTGTACAATGTACCGGGGCTCGTAATCATGCAGGGACGGCAAAGGGTATAAAAGTGCCTAGCTGGCTACTAGACAGTCCTGATGGCCACGGAAGAATGGGCTACCCTTCCAGCAGTTTCGTTAGTTTGACAATGAGATAGAGTTAGATATCCACAAAGTAGTACAGTAACACAACAGCGTCTTTATGGCACTTGCCAGACTACGAGATAAGCAAGTCAACAGAGTCAAGGCTATCGACATCGCAGTTCACGTGTTCAGATGCTCGCCTTACATCTCATGTAACCAAAAGAGATCCCCCAACACGCACACACGTTCCGGCTTTGCCCGATCACCTGAGCACGAAGGAGGAACAGCGCTGAAGAGATGAATTGTCACAGCGAAGGTGTCAGCCGGGCTTGGGGGGCGGATAAGTGTTATACAACAGCGACGCAGCGTGGCTCGATGTCAACGAGTGCATGCTACGGAGCGACGACCCCTGTAGTTCAACACCAGGGAAAAACTGACTTGGAGGGCAGAACATGTAGAGACAAGCTTTATCGAGTAGCCGCAACGAGGACGTGCATGCACAAAGCTCAAACAGGGTCTCGCTATTGTACTCTACGAGTCTTGGTTCAACGTCGAGTCCCTGTAGGTGGACGTGGGCCGTCAAACACCTTTCTGTCAGTAGCAATCCAGATTTAAACCTGAGAACCAATCGAAGATCTCACCACATAACGGGACTAAATTGTACAGTCGTAATTCCTCCTGCTCGTCTCGTGTTTAAGACATGCAGTGCTCTCCCATCGCTGGCCATGTAGTCCTAAGTGCTGGAGGACAACAGATGCTGATCACCGACCAGTACACCTACTGATTTCATGTTTTTTGCTTTATCCAGGCGCTTGGAGATGTGCGGCCGATGATGGAACTTTCACCCAGAGTATTGGGATTCTTGGATACGTCGTCTCCCCATTCAGCGCAGCGTCGGATTGTTGAGGGTATGGGAAGACTGTGGCAATGCAAGGGACACATTATCTAGAACTAGTCGAGAAACAGCCCACGCTCCAGATTCCGGTCAACAGTGCAGCGGTTCTCCGTTATCTCGCCGCCGCGTCTAGCGTCGCCTGCAGGATTTCTGTGACGTGTTCAGTCTCAATTTTTGTCCAGTGTGTTTTGTGGCGTAGCAAGCTATGTCGCCTTGCAGAGCGTCTTGGTGCCTGGTTAGTTGGCCTTGCACATTGTCGCTTTTATTGGCCATGTCGCCTGATTATTGCAAGGAGTTCCTGAATAAAGTGATAGGGTGCTGCAAGGTGGTGGGTTGTCTTGCAACTAGCCCCTTGCAGCTTGGATCACGCCATAGCACCAACCCGTAGCGTGTTGTGTCGAGGAAGTTATTTTAAGGGCTGAGTGAGCCAGATTTTTGCCGTGAAGGTTTTCATTGTTTAAAGCTCTGGACCGTTCCACCGTGCCTCATCTCTACAAAAAAACTATCATCCCCCATGCGTGTATGTAAGTTGATCTCTGGTGCTCCCGCGGTCATGTCCCATATGATCTCACTGCCCAGGATTACAAGCCTTCCCCACACATAGCTCTGCCTGACCTCTGCAACCTCCTACGTGTAGCGGACTCGGCCTTGGCCGTTAAGGACGGACAGACCACAGTCTCCAACGCAGCTACCAAAGGAAGTTCGGGCAATTGACCGCAATCATCAACAGGTCAGTAAGCGAAGCCAGCCCATGGTCGGATGCCTGGGAAGGTCCTCCGAGTCTCCAGTCAAACTCGAGGAATGACGCGGCGCAAATGACACTGCCTAAGGTACTCAACAGTCTCAGTGCAGTCACCCCTGCCCACTGTGCAGGAGATGTGCTCCCTGAACAACCAATGCGAAAGTTGATCACGCGCCTTTCATGCCCTGTACCCTCTCTCAGCGACATCAGCGGGCCGGATGACCCACTTACGCGAAGCGTGAATCATGGCCGGCAACCGGAAAAAGGCCTCCTGTGCCCGCCTAGTGGGCGCGGCCACCCCTTGGTGCGCTTCAGACTTCTCTCTCAGCAGTGCACGACAGTCCCTGGATCCCAAGGCCATTTCCGGTTTCCCCCGCAACAGCCAGCGCCGCCAGAGGATGAACCGAAGAAAGGACGGACAAAGCCCAACAGAACTCACTGCAATGTCAAGTATCTCCTCGAGGAACAGGACTGTAATCGGTACCACAAGATTGACCTCAAAGCATCTTAGAATGAGGTCCTCGAGAGATTCAAGCCCTTCCAGTAGAGGTTTCCTAAGAAAGAATTTGATCGCAGGGTTCAAGGTCTTCAAGGCGTCCACTATCGCGAGAATAGGGCCATTCCGAAGCCACAGGGTGAGACCAGTGGTCGAAAAATATGCTTTCTCCCCAACGGGCGCGTACTTGCACACGCTTGCAAAGTGCAGGAGCAGAGCGAGTACAAGTGCATGTATGTGCTCATCTACTTATTCCCTGAGAGGGCCAAGAACTACTCCTGGGTGCATCCCGAACGCCGTCAGTTCGCTACTCGGCTGAGTATGACCACATTCTTCACCTTTGCTAGCATTAATTTGCTGAACAAGGACATAGACATTGAGGGGATGCAGGAGAGGGCACAAGCCAAACGACAGGCTATGGAGCGTGGCACTTGGGCGGGAGACAACATCTGCATGTATTGTGAACGATACGACCCAGAGATGGATTGTACAAGTGGTTGAAAGCAATTGAAAACGAGGTCTGGTATATTTGACTTTTGCAACACCGTTCCCATTGAGCAGATAAAGCAAGTAAATCGGCTAGTAGATCTTGATCAGACCGCGTTTGAACTTAAAGACTGTGGCTCCTCTTCTACTGATTCACTATGCCTAGTACTTCGACAAGTGTCTCGGCCCCCAAGCGCCTTCTCGGACTTGACTTGATACTACATGCCAGAAGGAGGCCAGAAATATCAAAACTGATCAGCATCGGACATAGGATGGACAACTTGGGGATTTCCACCCACCGCTTCGGTGACTCTCTCACAGATCGCTCTTCGTTCGAGAACAAAGACCTGTTGCGACGCGTGGAAATGCGTAGTATCTGCATTGGAACTAAGCCCCGTGCGCGATTCTTGCCCACTTAAGGACTAACGGGGATGTCAAGCTGTAGATTGCGTTACCATAGTAGTGTTGGCGTCGTATAATAGTCCAGTCCGTGGGTGGCAGGGGTTGGTCAGCAAGACGAACAGTTTAAGCACCAAGTCACATTGGCTGCTGATACAACACCTCTCTTGCTGACCTGGCCTCCTGCTCATCAAACCACGGGGTCTTTTGGTAACATAGTGATTTACTGAACCAAAGTGGACAAGATGCTAATAACAGAGTGTACATATTGCTTCTCGGTCCTATGATCACAGAAATTGCCACCTTACTCATGCCGCCGATCTGCTTGAACAACCCGAAGATCATCAAAAAAGTCAGGCCAGTTTTCGTCCCGGCTCATCTGAGATGGGCACAGCGCGAAATACTCTCGAGTCTCCTCAACTATCACCTGCCGCTCCCTCGCCCAATCTGAACTTCTAGAACTATACAAGCCAGGAATACCACGCCACTGGAGCGTTGACCAGGCGTCCAGACCCGCTAGGCCACAACTCTGCATTGTTGTGGTCCAAAAGAGGTCCTCCTCCGCGGTGCTCTGCGTAGTGAGGACAGCAGCACCGTGTAGCGCTGTTCGCCACTTCATCTGCCATGCTTTATTACTTGACAGATTGAGAAGTTCTTGCTGGAAGATTTTCCTTAACGTCGCAGATGTGGCGTGCTCTGTGGTGATATCTGTTTGAGGGCGAGCGTTTATTGTGAACTGACCCAATTGTTTAGCAAAAGGGGCTAGGGTTGGCATAACTTCTGACAATGGCGGCCACCGTGAGAGGTACATGCGCCTTACTTCAGCTGAGTAACATGGCCGGTTCACGCCCGGATTCAAGCATGCCCTCCTGCTGGACTTGAATAGTTCTCCATATATGGCCATGTGGCAGACCATGTCAGCCGCCATCCCTGTCTCGTGCAGCAAGTTCTGGTATTGCCGATCGCCTTGAGTTTGCGCCACGAAGGCCACAATTCGGCTCAGTATCCAGGCCATGCGCCGGCTGGATACCCCGGGGCCGCTGTTACTGCTGCTATCATCGACACACAGGTCGCGAATGTCAGCTAGGGTCAGCCCTGCCACTTCAAGGGCGAGCATTAAGATTCCTCGAGAGCCATCTTGAAAGGCACCTTGGAGTCTTGTTGTACGCGCAAGGTCCCCGATAGCCCAGTCAGAGACCTGACCTGCAACCGCCAAAGCGAGGGTATGAACCCACGGCCGACTCCCCCATGCCTTTGACTGCTTGAAATCTGACCGCACAGCAAGCGCCAGAATTGTTCTGGGTGAGATTCGTTCGAGAGTAGCGTGCAGAGCCCTGCACGTGGCCTGTAACTGTATCAGGGTTCGAAGATTGTCGAAATATGCCGGCAGAAAGGTCAAAATGTCGAGAGGAAGACCGAGCAGGGACATTGTGATGAGCGAGGTCCGCTTGTTGAGAGCAATGAGAGGTTGTAGGTCCTTGACGCAGCCTATCTATCCGTGGGCCAAGCTCTATATTTGGGACGGAGCTTTCGAGCAAACTTTGCCTAGTCGCCACTTGACTGTCTTTTCTTGGTGACATAATAGCATAAGCGCTGACGGATGCAGGCGAATGAGTACGGTTCTTCATACGGTGTGGAAGCATCTGGCCCACACTTAGACGCTTTTTGTTCGTCTTGCTGTTTGGTATCCTCATCAATGTTTTCTAGTACTCATTTGCCCCCGGACAAACACTTCAAACAGCACTGCAAAATCTGATCGACGAGCTATTCCCCTTCCACCATCGACGTGGAACCCCGAAGGTCACTCTTTTGTCTGACCATGCCATAGACAGTGCCGTGGAGTCCACGAATTTACATGAAGGACTCACCACTGGTGTTATCAGGCAGAAGGGCGGAGAGTTTCGTGGTTGCAAACGAGAACACGCGTCATTCAACTATACGGACGACTCTCGTGCAGCCATGTAACAGTAGTACCCTGGAGCCCGCACCTTCGACGAAGCCTGCCTTTCCGGACGCCAGGCCATTCTCGATTCTCGAGTCGGGCACTCACAGCCATAACTCCTAGGGGTATTGTGAGACATTGAAGGTAACCGTGTAGTAGATAGGGAGATTGGTTAGTAATGACAGGGCGGCCACGCTTGTCTTGCAGAGATGACATCTGGCATCCGCCCTGAGATGACGAAAATAAAGATTGTTGCTATTAACGGCAAATCGGAAGCTTTGACTTTGAAGTAACCACGCTGCGCTAAATATACTGGGACTATCGGTTCGTTTGCTGTCCTAGGAATCCTCAAGCACCTTGGAATAATACATACAGCCGGCCATGCATGAACTCATTCCAATTTCGATTGGGATTCATATTGGGATTTTGAGGTCTGAGCCCTGCAGTCTGCCTTCAGAATCCAGTTCAGGCAGCAGAAACGCCCGTACAGCATGATGACCTTCAGGGGCTAAATGAGCTGTTGGCCCGGCTTTAACTGATCGCCAAAAGTACGCACCAACCAACACGGACACCCGAACTCGACTTATCGAGGTGTTGGGTTTCTTTATGCTCGTCGAGCTTCTCGGCGGAAGTGGCGGCTTGGCCGAGCACCCGCCATAGCTATTACGGCCAGGCGAAGATCGGGCCACCCTGCACATGATACTTGGGAGGTCCCATCTACGTCTTACGCGCACGAGGCTGGTGGAGGAGCCGACACGGCCTGCCCCTGTCTGTGAGGACGTAATGGTTGTCCAAGCGGGAGTGTTTGTGTGCCTGCCGGGATATACAAGTCCGTCGTTGGCAGAAGTTTGCGTAGTTTTTCATGGATATGCGGTTCATATCTCGGCAAGATATAATCCAACTTGTCCTTGATGAGATCAGGAACGACCAGTGGAATGGTCTCTTCGCAGAACAATAATAGCTGGTTATAATGATGGGAGATGAGATAACTGAGTTGATCCCATATGTAGCGGCGATTCCCATTGGCGGCCTCAATCGACAATGGTTGTGTTGTTGGCGCTTGTAGAAGGAGGGTTTCGTATCCCGAGGGCCACTCCTTCGTGGCATCTTTGTAGACCACTATGGCGCAGTCAATGAGCCAGAATTCGCGCTTATGCGAGCGGGAAGAATAAAGATGACACAGGCTTTCCGACGCCAGAATAGTGAGGGAATCCTGAATAAGGCTGGCTGAGAATTGCCGACTGCCAGCATGCGCGAGCCAACTGTCGCTTTCAAAGCATATATCATTATAAAGAGAGTCTTGTAGGTGAAGCATAACAGCTTTTATGATATTGTCCTGGCGTGCAAGCGTTAGTTCGCGAATCGTAGCGGGCCATGTTGGATGAATCAGCTTTGATATTTTCTCCCACAGAGGGCCAGGGAGACATTCTCTCAGTGTAGCTGAACAAGACGATTCGAAGGCTCGTTGCAATTGAGGGGATAGTTGCTCTTGGAAATATGCTTGGAATAGAGCTCGATAAATGGCTTTGATTTCGGCGGGTAGGGCTTGACAAGCATCGACATGTCGCTCTGCCATGCTGGGATATGGTGGATTTGATCCAGGATTGTCTGTGTCGGCGAAAGGGACTTGCAGTTAATGATAGATTTATGGTACATTGTGAGGAACATGTCCAGCGTCTTTTCAAAGTACTGCCGCAGAGGGGGCCTCTCGTAAGATGCACACTCAATGCATTCCAAACAATCAATGTGATTCAAACAATCCAACCAACTAAACAAACAGCTCTTATCTTGCCCTAGTACAACATCGTACCCACTCCATCTAGAGGGGCGTTAGTCCGAATAGGGCAAAATAGGAGTCGGCAGCTCGCGCGGGGATTCCTTCAACTTTCCTCACAGTTTGTTTTGAAAAGTCCACAAAACAGATCCATATTTATGGCTCGATATCCTGGAGCGACACCAAAATGTTTCAGTCAAGATCTGAATATGCTACGGCTGGACGAAATTTTGATCACTGCCTGGTTCTGAATCACGAGCCATGCACATAGTCCCCATTCTTGGCGCAGGGAGCATTAATATTGTATTGTGGCTAATTTTGAGAGCCTCTTGAGAACGTGCATTCGCGTGGAACGACGTTGGCACTCCTTGGCTAAGATCTCAAATGAATGCCGTCATTTTCAGCACCACGGTAGATCCCTGATTAACACTGGAGTGAGCCCTTGTGCTCATCGAGAGACTTATCGATTCTTCGATGGTGATCAAGCTTGATGGGCAAGCAAATGGCTCAAGCATTGGCACGATATGTTGCCATCCTGATAGGGATGCCGTGCGTAGCTGCATTGAATTTCCTGCGATATGGGGCTGCCGGCCATGAAATCCTGCTTCAAATTGATTGGCGTATAGTAGTGAGGTGTGTCAAGCTCGTACTTTGGTATAAAGTCGCTCGTAGGGTGCACTGGCGAGTGATTTGACGTGCCTCCTTCCTGGTCACCGAGGACACTCTCCAGGACGGGAACTTCTTCCATTTCCATGGCACCTTGAGGGCTCTTGGTCCCTTCTTTTTTGCTGCTGTGTTGCTGGGCAGGTTCAGCCCTGCTTTCCAAGAGTTTAAGACGGTCCCTGATTTTCTTGCCTGGTCGCGGGTTAATCAAGAGAGTCAATCGAGCAGACGGAAGGA